CCATGGCCTCTGATCCTCTCTGCCATGCATCTGCATTTTCACAGGCCTGCATTTTGCATATTGGCTTCTATTCCATCCAGGAGAACATAAAACAGCAGACTCTCCCTATGCCTGAAGAAGGGTGTTTGTGTCCAAAAGCTTGCAAAGAACAATTTTCCCAACTATTTTGTTGATCTAATAAAAGATACCACATTTACCCAAAAAACCTTGTTCCCCTTTAAGAGGCATACCTGCTTTCTGATAGAGGGCAGGGCAATTTGCAGTTATGCAGTCTAGGTGAAATGGTGAACCTAGAGCCGTGTTTAATTACCTCTGATGGTTGTTGCATGTTCAGTTGTAGCTGATGATCAGTTTTGTTGAAAGAGAACTCATATTTCAGAACAAAGTTTCCACTCCTAAGAAAACAAATGATATTGTCCAGCAGTGAGCTTTTATTACTCTTAATAACAAAGGAAACTGAAGAAAGCCTCAGCCATAATAAAAGCAAGAGATTCTCTTCAAAAGCAGCGCATAGCTGTCACGTAGACGAAGACCTGCCCACCATAATTCCATCCTCCAAAATGGAATTCTATTTCTCCAACAGGAAAGTGCAATCTGCAGGAATTTCTGTTTATATATTACACTGGCACAAAGGTACCATATGGCCCAAGGGCTTACTGGGGACTCTTACCACTCCTATCAATTACAAGACTCCTGTAACACTCATTTATTAGGCTACCAATAGAAACACCATGACGTGGGTTGGTCCACACTGCTTGCCATCATGCAGTGGAAGGTTTCAGTAGCATAACTGGGAGAGAGGGGGTGACCAGTGGCAGCCCTGGGTGCTGCCTTTGTTGAAGGTGCAAAGATAGATACAGCAGCTGACCAGACCAGCGCCCCTGGAACTGTGGCAGTCGGTACTGGCTCATGTGTTGTAGATGCTCCAGCCTCGGAGCTACCTTGCTACACCTCTGAAAGGTTTACACCGGCACCCATGGTAGGGTTGCCCAACATAGGGATTCACATGGTGAGGATCTTTGAAAACCCAGTCCTTCAAAATAAACCCTTTCACAATAAAATGAAACTGTTGTTTTAAGTAGTAGAGACCTCTACCCATGTTTGTGATTGTATCGCTCTCTAAAGAGCCATGATGGGGCAAGTCTTCAGGCAATGTAAACTGTCAGTCATAGTACACTGACTTCCTACCTTTTTAGGACAACAATAGATGGCAGCTAAGAATCTGGCCATACATTTTAACGGTTGGAGTCTCCTTGAGCTCAGCGTCCGTGCTTTGAAAACAATGACCTTGAGTTCTGTCTATGAAGCATGCATCTGCATTTCAGCCAGCCTAAGCCAAGATTTCAAAATTGACCAGTCATTTTCAGAGGGTAGGTGCTTAGAATTATATATATAAATAAAATATATAGTGATGTATGTAGGCTCTATTTGGGATACACTAAAGGTGCTTCATTCTTTAAATATTTTATTTATATATAAAATATATAAAATATTTAAAGAATGAAGCACCTTTAGTGTGTGTATCCCAAATAGAGCCTACATACATCACTAGTTACTTTGGAAAATTTTGGCCGTGATTTTGCTGCATTAGGCTCAGGCACTACGAGATCAAAACAAGGATTTCATTAGCTTCCTAGGGCCACAGATTTTTTTTGTTTTGTTTTTTTAGAGGGGGTGGAGGGAGTATTGTTTTGTTTGTTTTTTAATTGATTCATAATTAAAAACAAAGGGAAACCCCAGGAAGAGCCATAATGTTGACAGATCAGACAGCATCTTGGCAATGCACTTGATCTGCAGCCTCACAGCTGCCAGGACTCTATATGAAATGAATGTCTCCAGACAATACAAGGAGAAAAACTGGGACAGTGCTGTAGCCTCCACTGAAATGCACCACACTTCAGAACTCTTTGGAGGAATGAAATGGAGGAGCCAGGGAAAGAGGTAGTAGAGGAACAGGTGGGGAAGATACTTTTTTGAGAGAATTGTTATTCTTCATGAGGAACGGTTAGCATGAACCATACTGGCTTGTGCTGTGATCTCAACATCGCGCACATTAAAAAGTGTTAGACAAAAACTGCACTTAAACCTGAGACCTCCTAGGTGCAGCAGGGAACGGAGCTGGTTGTTTAGCAACTCTTAGTGCTCTTCAGCCCAAGCTGGTTTTAGGCATCATCTTTCAGATGCCGTATAAAAGCGAAACCCAAGTTTTGATGGAACAAGGTACTGCCCTTGTTGCACTCACTTAATTCCGCTTCAGGCAATGACAATCCAGTTCCTTACACTTCCTTGCAATAGCAATGGGATACAAGAAACTTTTTCATTCCCTGCCCTCATTTTCACAGACAGCACTCCTGTGTGCAGCTGCTACATTACACTCTCGAGGGGGAGAGGTGAAGAATCAGACCAAACCAAATAAAGGAACTATTAAAAGAAAGAAGTGACATTACTAGAAAGGGGTTAATTATGGAGGAAAAAAGGTCTCTTTCCTCCCCCAAGTTTATTTACATTTAACATCACTTTGGTTATAGTTATTTTCATGGTTTCCCTCCTGTATTACTTCAGGTTCCTCTGTATGGGTCTCTCACACCATACAAAAGAAGAACATATTGTAAAAAGATGAGGATAGGATTGTAACAAGGATTCAAAACCATGGTGGGAGTCTGGAACTATTTTTAACCTTTCATGTTAACTCTTTCCAAATGAACCTTGCAGCAAATGCAACCAGGAGCAGGACACAAATTTTTGAGACTGACAGACTTTTTGAAGCTGAAGAACGTGGCAAACTTCAATCCTGCCCACAGGAAGATTGCCACATCCTCTTAACTCACTCCTGCGGTCCTGAAACAACAGCATGTGCCCCTTATTTTTTCTGCACACCAGTATTTTGAGCCTATCCCAAGCTGCCCCTTTTGCATTCTCCTGGCGTTGCACCACTTCACCTTGGGCACTTCAAGCAAGTGCAGGAGAGGGCATCAGAGACACCTAGGCATTGGAAGGCATTAGAGACACTTAGATAGATTTCCAGAAGAGGGTAGACACCTAGGTAGCTTCTGGTCATCAACTAGATACTGCCCGAAGGGAAACCAAGACAAATGTCTCTCCATGAAACTACTTTTGTCCAAAAGGAAGTCAGACTGACACCACCACAGGACAGCGCCAGCACACCTTAGCCATGGATGCCAGCTTCGCTCCCCTTGGCGCTCATACCAGAACTTCTTTATTAAGCAGGGGACTTGGGACAACACCCCCTGGCCAACTTGGAAAGTGGCGGGGAGAAAGGACTGAAGCCAGGAAACAGTGCCAGCAAACTTGCAGAACAAACACCCCACTCCTGGAAGCAGTGGGCACCAAACGCCCCCTCATTCCCCAACAAGGTGGGCAGCGGGGGGGGCTGCTCCCAGCAGGGGATGGGACTGGATCAGTGCTGTCAGCTCCTACATATAAAATGATTGTATTGGAAGCTCCAACTTATCGTATTTGGTGAAAAGTCATGGTATACTGAAAAAAATATGCACATAAGCATGCAACTAGGTCTTCTTATTTACTTTCTAGTGGTCACTCTAACCCTCCAGCGAGTGAGCGACAACTGGGCCATCACCAAAGCTGCAGCATTTCTTTACAACCAGGCAAACCCTTACAAGAAAGTTCTGGACAGCCAACCCAAAAGGCAGGTAAAGACTCCCCAAGATGCCCGGGCTGCATCAGCCAGCTTGCCTACATTTTGAACACTTTTCCTATCGCCGAGCCTGCCTCGTACAGGGGTGGAAGGCACGAATGCGATAAGGACCGTACACCTGGCAACAGCGGTCTAGGTGCGCCCAGGGCTGCCGTCCAGCCCGCGAGTGCCAGGGGTCTTGGGGGGGCAGGGGGGCGGTACCTTTGAGCTGGGGCAGGGGCGACAGCTCCACCTGGCTGCTCTGGCTGCGGAACTGCGAGGAGCCCTGCGAGCGCTTCTGCCGCTGCGCCTTGCGCACCGACTTCCGCGTGAAGCCGTCCACCTTCTCCGCCGCCGAGATGGCCGCCGCCGCCGACATGGCCG